GAAGTTTACACATTGTACAAAATTTATAGAAACAAAATTGAAAAATTAACAGACGGGGCCAAACGAAAATACTATGAAAAAGTCTTAATTCAGAATAGGAACAACAGTAAAAAATGTGGCAAACGATTAAGGAATATAGTACAAGCGCCAGCGTACAAAGTAACGATGAACCATTTGAAATTGTACATAATAATCAGAAGGAAACATACTCTTTAAAAATAGCTAAAATCTTCAATGATCATTATACAAGTATTGGAGAGAAAATGGCATAGAACATTAAAAATAATACTTTTTCGAATAAATGGGACAAATTACAAATCAGTAACATATTTTCAATATTTCTCAGATATGTAGATGAATCTGAAGTTATAACAATAATTAATAGTTCAAAAAGTGATTCTTCTCCCGGATTCGACAATATAACATCAACAACCCTTAAACACTTTGCTCCCCTTATTTCCAAGCCTTTATGTCATCTCATAAATCAAATATTTACAAAAGGAGAATGTCCAAATCACTTCAAGGTTGCTTGTCAAGCCAGTCTATAAGAAATGTGACAAAAATATGGTAGAAAATTATAGACCAATTAGCCTTATCTCGAATTTGATTAACATATTCGAGAAAGCTCTCAAGTGAGATTTCTCTGTTTTTTTAGATAAGCATGGAATATTATCCAAGATGCAATACGGGTTTCAACAAAATCGATCGACAAATGATGCAATAGCCGTGCTTACTCAGAAAATCTGTAATAGTTTAGATTCGAGTCGTGCGTGTGCTGGAGTATTGATATACTTGGCAAAAGTCTTTGACATCATAAGTCATCAAAGGCCTTTGTTAAAATTGGAAAGCATTGGAATTTGCGGACCACCATTGTCACTTTTGAATAGCTACTTATGTAAACGATGCCATATTTGGCATCGTTTACATCGTTAAAATCGGTAGTATACAGAATAGTAAAAAAAGTAATAATTATGGAATCCCACAAGGTACCTTCCTGGGACCCATATTATTCCTAATATACTTAAACGATCTATAGATCGGATCAGATGCTGATAGGATAATAATGCGGAAGATACTGTGCTTTATGTCGAAGGTAAAACTTGGAAAGAATTCGAACAAAAAATAACCAGAGATATACAATTCATGGTAGATTGATACGAATTTACTACCCATGAATTTGGTAAAAACTACATATGTCCCCTTCTCAAACTATAAAACTGGGCTGCCAGAAAACCAAAGAATTTATATAAATCTTCCTTTTCGAAGAGATATATGGACTCTTCAAAGCACTGACCACACTAATTATCTAGGTATAACGATAGACAGATGGAATGGAACTATCACATCCACCTCCTAACAATTCAAATATTTTTTTTATCCACCAACCCTCTACCGGCTGACCAATTTTGATTTTAGAGTTTTGTTTTTGAATTACTTTTATTTCGCCTCGATAATTTGATTTTACATCTTATTATTGCGGACGTAACACACTCAGATGGCCATAACTCCAAATCAAGATGTATTTTTCAATGCCGAACAACTTTTTTAAATAACAATTCTCGAAATTTTTCAAAATAAGAGTACTTTACTCTTGTGTCTCAAAATCAAATATTTGAAAGTTCCTCGTATGTTACGTGTGTTTTACTATATTATGTTGATACATGTTTAGTTTCAATACTGTAATACAATGATTATTTTTCAATTATTTGTTTTCAAGTTCGAATCAGAAATTACGACTTTAAACTTGAAATTTTAACTTTCATCTCGAAATTTCGAGAGATTACTGAACACTAAAAACCTAATTATGAACTAGTATAACAAAATATGTTAACAATGTTTAATTTAAATTGGAAACTTTAATTTTCAGTGCACACTTCGGAAGCTGAAAGTACTCATAATATGTTTTAAAATTAGTTTTATCTGTAAATATTCATTACTGACAAAGTTTGGTTGCTATTAATTCACTTTAACGTAATTTTATAACATTGTTCTCAATATTGTATGGGTTAGTTATATCTCACAACATTTAAATTTTAATTGTATTTATTGAAGGTTTATTACTTTTTTCCAGAGCTGATCGTATAGCTCGTTATAAAGAAGAAAGGAGGCGCCAACTTGCTGCTCAATTTGGTACTAGCCAGGATACTTCTACCGTCAAAGCAACAGGCAAAGATGGAGGAACATCGAGCAGTTCGGAGGGTCCCAGACCCACCAGAGCTTCGAGGTTGAGATTGGCTGCTTTGTCGTCTCAAGAAGGAAATTCCTCCTCTCAATTTGTGGGCAGTAGATCACTCAATCCAGAGGTAAATATAAGACAATGTAACTTTTTAATTTTATGTTCTCAAGACAGTACAAGCTGTATCGATAATTTCAGAATTAATCAAGGTAAAATTCGGCAGTTACAGGAAAATACATTTGAACATGTTGTGAGGGATCACTCAACATAGAAATTATGTATACGCTGTCTGTTCAAAAAATAAGGAGAGCTTTTATTTTCTCCAATCATCAATTTCTATCTTGTTTCCTTCAAATCAGTCCCCCTCAAATGTAATACACTTGTGCCAGCTTTTTTTTCCAATCCTCAAAGCATTTCGAATATGCACTTTCTGGTATGTTCTTGAGCTATTTTAGCGATTCGGTTTTTATCTCCACAATGGTCGCAAAACGCCGTCATTTCATGGGTCTCTTCAATCTTGGGAACAAGAAAAAGTCGCAGGGGCTAAATCTGAAGAATACGGTAGCTGAGGCATGATTACTGTTACAAAACAATTACGAACTAGCAATGACTCAACTGATGCAATGATGCAAAAACCATGAATTGTTTTTCCACAACACCGGACGTTTTCTTCGTATTGCTTTTTGTAAGCGGTGTATAACTTTTGGATCTATACCTTATCACCAATCCAGAAATTTACACAGTCTCCGTAAGGTTTCCATTGGGATTTTCTGACCACGAACTTATTTCAGTGTTGAGTGAATTACCGCCAAATGTTGGATACAATCTAAGCCGTGTAATGTTTGGTATTAAAGATCTGCTGAGTGGGAGGATCTTCAAGACCATTTCCGAAATTTCCCCTGGCTAGATGTTTGTTTCAGCTTTAAAGATCCATCAACTTGTGCTTCTGAAGTCACGGAAGTTATTCTATCCTCCATAGATGCATATATTATTTTTTCAATGAAACGACCTTCAACCGGCAAACCTTGGTTCAACAAAAATTGCGAGCAAGCTGTCGCCTCCATAATCTCGCCTACCGGCAGTGGCGCGATAATCCCAGTGTCGAAAACCTAACTAGGTTTGTTAATGCTCGTAACACCTGCAAACTTAGGATAAATGAAAGCAAAAACTTCTCAATCAGAGAATTAAGAAATGAACTGCTTGCCAATCTCAACGGGTTTAGATCCTTCTGGTCGGTAGTTAAAGCTCTCAATAATCAGAACTTCACAAAATCCATAATTCCACCACTAACACAAGCGGATGGTTCAAATGCAATAACAAATCTATTAGCTGAACGATTTGCTCCCCTTACCACAGCCGATTACCTGGGAAAGGCTCCACTCACTATTCGCACACTAGAATTCACAATGCCGGAAATTAACTTTTTCAGAGCGTCTAGTCGGGAGAATTTTGAAACAGCTTAATATCGATAAGGCGTCTGGTTCTGTTGGAGTGCCTGTCATCGTTCTTAAAAAGTGCGCAAATGTACTCGCACCAGTATTTTGCAGACTTTTCATCCCGTCTTACAAGAAAGGGGTTTTCCTTCTTGTTGGAAGATTGCTCGCTTTCTGCCTTTTCCCAGAAAGGGCAAGAAAACTCTTCTGAATAACTATATGATATCAAAAATCATGGAGAAAGCCGTAAACCCACATATCCTCAAATATTTGGAAGGCTTTAACATCTGGAACGACCATTAATATGGTTTTCGGAAACAAAGATCAACAGGCGACCTTCTATCGTATGTCACCCATATTTGGAATAATGCAATCGAGAAACATGGAGAGTCAAGAGCTGTTGCGCTTGATATTTCTGAGGCCTTTGGCCGTGTGTGGCATGAGGGTTTGCTGGCCAAACTTCGATGCTATGGCTTGTCGGATCATTTTTGTGTATGGCTCTTTTCTGCAAGTGGAAGTCGATGGATGTCTCTCAAATACTTTCACCATCAACGCAGGTGTTCCCCAGGTATCCATATCGTCTCCAATCTTTTTTTTTATTATATATCAACGACTCATTGGAAAAAACCAAGAATCCAATATATTGCTCTGCTGACATGTGCTCCTCATTACATTTGGATTCCAGGACATCGGCTGCGGATGCACATCTCCACCAGGAGTAGAGGGTGAATATCTTAATGAGGATCTAGAAGTAATTTCGAATTGGGTGAAAGTAACCAGGTTGAATTCAATGGCACGAAAACCCAGGCATCGATTATCCCCAAAAAGACAAATGTTCTAAGTTGTCAGACCCAGCATATTCTTCAGGCAACCACAGACCCACCAGAAAACAACGAGTTTATGGAGTGTATTGTATAATTTACTGATCACTTCACTATCCAAAATATAAGCATACTTCGAGGGGAAATGATCAGTAAAAAATTCAAAATTACAACATTCCAAAGTATCTATCAGTCCCATAATATTTAACCACTTTCTCAGACCAATGTATTAAATAATGGATATTTGTATGACGTTCCCGCTTCCAGCGGTGTTGCCAAAAGTATGGATCTGATAACGTTAATTACATATTTTTGTCGCTGCACAATTTTTGTGCACATTGGCTGTGTAATCCATTTACCTATTGGTATTGACGTTCAAAGTCTCGATCTCACTGAAAGTGAAATTATTTGCAAAATTTTAAAATATATATGCTCTCGATATAAATAAGGTATCAAATTGATAAATTATTTATTAATTATCTTAAAGCAGAATCTGAAAGTGTAAAATCAATGAAATACGTTATTTCTTTAACTTCATAATATAATATTTTTTTAATACCCTATGTAGAATTTAATTATGAAAAGGAAGAGAAAGTTGCAAATTACCAATCTGACAAACATTTGCTTATATACAGGGTTTTATCGAAAAATATTTAATTGTCATTTGAAAAAAAAATTTGTGATTTGAAAGTGTTCTTTCATTAATGAAACATATATGTATTATGGAAATTTTCTTACTAGAGAGACGAGTCGAAAGTGACACAGAATCAATAAAGTATCAGGTAAATAAATCAATGGAGACACAACGAAGATACATAGGAATAAGTGAAATTCATTTAATATAAAACTTTCAAAAAGCCAATAAAAAATATCAAAGTTAGTACCTACATAGTCTTAACTCAAAATACATCCTAATAAACTAAAGACTAAAATATAAGTATAATGTTCATAAAATAAATTTATATCAATATTCACATTATTAAAAACGTGAGTGAGATCTGAAACATCTTGGAACAAAAATGAATTATCGAAATAAATTCAGTAAAAAAACTTGAAGTCAACTAGGCTATAAGGAATGACAAATATGTTATTTAGTACGATAAGTATTATATACCAAGGTTTTGATTCGTAACCAATCATTTACTTTGAAGGATTCATGAGTGCGTATGAAATTTAAACATTCCTTCTTCTTGGGAGCCACATTATTTTCAATATGAGTTTTAAAAAATTGAAGGACACTTTTTTTTTCATCACTTTCCCAACGACTTCTGCTTGAGTGTTTCACAGAAAAAAGTTTCACTTTTGGTGAATTTTGTTCTGAAATTTGCTTTGATTGATAAGTTTCTTCATAATCAGGTGGCTGATCATATTCAAAACTTCCTTTTTTGGGTACATTTTCCCTATCATCTTCATCAGAATCTATTACCTCTTCATCTATATGAATTTCATTCAAATTTTTGTCCTTGAGTTCGTTTGCCTTTCCAGCATTCATCAGCAGCAATACTTTGGCTACTTTAGCCGTTTGGTAAACATCTTCCGTTAATCTGAAATGAATAAATTTGTTGAGATGTTAAATAATATTGTCGAGATAAGTTTTCTTCTAATATTTCCATTTTACTATTCACATCAAAATACAATACATAACAACATATAAAAAGATAGAGAGGGCCATGTGATATTAATAATGTAATACAAAACTCATCAGACTCACCTATAGAATTCTTGGTGGGTTTTCTCAGTATGCCCCATGAAACGAGCAATTTGTTCCATTTCAGCGTTATCAAAATTCATCAGCTGCAAAATTGTTGCAATTTGTTTTCTGAACTTGGTTGATGTGAGTAAACCTGGATTTCTTGCTCCACAACTGGATGCAAATTTTCTCAATACTGAAGCCGCCGTCATCCATCTATCTGTTGACCCGGGATTAGCAAACAAATACTTATTGGATTTGGGGACGATATTGGTCTCTTTTCTGATGTCTAAAATGAGATCCACGTATGTTTGCATTCGTTTCGTGAATAAAATGGGAACTGGTTTACTTCCTTTTCCAAATACAACAACCCTTTTGAAACTAGAGCTCATTTTTTTTTCGAGTTCCGAAAGGCTACTCAAGCACTCTTCTTGATTTATTGACGAGAAATTCCTTTGATAGGTTTGAATGTCTAAAAACTGTATCTCCCCAATTCTTTTTCTGTTAAATAATAGAATAAGACATAATGCTGCTTCACAAAGCAATTTGTAGTTCTTAGTGATATCTTCTTTTGTCCTCAATTTTGTATATGCTTCATTTGCTATAGATGAAATATGGCTATTGAATAACTTAACATCTTCCGTAAGTGGAAGTAACTTAGGTTTTTCCCACCGTTTCTCATTAAGAACTTTCTGAGCCAAACTTGAAATATCATTGCACCAGTGTTCCTTTAACATGTCTCGAAGGTCATTGATATTCTTTAATTGTTGGTCTCTTTCTCGATCACTTAAGGGTTGAAATAGTGGAGATTTTGTTATCAAGGCTTTTTTGGCCACTTCACACAGAAATTTTAGATTTGTTCCCATATGTAATGCTAATGAGGACGACTTGAATGATTTGGTTTCATTATCAAAACCACTTATAATTTTCGATGCAGCCACAATGTTTTCATACAGTTCAGGTTTCAGAACGTCGATGAGGTTATCAATGGTTGTAGATTTCTGTAATACTATTTTCAGTCTTGCCATTTCCCGAATTTTGTTGGAAGTTACAGTATGCATTTGTTTTCTCTTATGTTTACTGAGGTATGATTCGCCATAAAGGCAAATTAGCGGGTCAGTTTTTGCAGTGAGACTAATTTCATCCGGTCTCATGATGCAAAATACTTCGTTTTTCAATCGACTTCTATTCAGGTGGTTACCGAGTAAACCAGTCGTAGCTAGAAACGTCTGAGATTCGGTAAGGTGTTGTGTTTTCGAACCCATATTATCAATTTTTGCTCCACAGTTTTTTTTATGTCTCCATAAATAGGATTTTTTGTAATAACCCAAGCAGGAGGTACATGGGAAATAATTTATATCATTCACATTGCCTAACAACTTGGGTTTTCTTGTGGGTTTAATACTTTGTTTTTCGGAATTCAAAATGAAATTCCCCTTCTTTCTTAAACCGATAATCGCCAGTCTTCTTTCTTTACTCTTATTAGGCATTTTTAAAATCTTTTTGATGCATTCTTCATCTGAATGTTTCCGTATCAAATGTCTAGAAAAATGGCCTACATTTTCGAAACAGAATGGACATAAATCTTTATCATATATAAAACTTTCACTTTGAACATCTCTAACGTTCAATGATTCCTAGAAGAAAAATTTGATTTAGAAAATATCATGAATGGATTTAAAATACATATATGATTTCTTGTTGATACTATGAAATGGCATATGAGATAATTCTCAAAATTATTTTCAAAAATATGAAATACAAACAAGGTTATTTAAAGGAAATTGAGTATTGAAAGCAATGGGTGTTTCTAAAGACAAACCAGATTATTCAAAATTAGTTACCCACCATAAAATTGAAATATATATATACAGGGTGTTAGTGAATGAGTTCAACAAACTTCAATGACAGTTTGCAATAGAACTTTTGTGGGAAAGGAAAATGATTCGTTTTCCGAGATACGACGTACTAAAGTTTGTCTTAAAAACTGACTATTTATATATTGATCTAAAACCGGTTTTGCGGATAAAAGTAATATGGCAAATTGCCATTATTTTTACATGCAGAATCGCCTCCTGAAGTTTGACGCACTTATTCACGAACGCCCTGTATATAACAAATATTTTTTAAGCAGAGGGAACTGAATATTGAGTTGATTTGATTCTTATGGAAACTGTTTCTACCTATTAATCGAATAGAACTGGCCGATACTTCATGATACTTCATGTTTGTACGATTTTCACTATAAATGATTTAAAAAACTGCGACTCAACAGCTTTCTCAATCATAATTTATGTTTGAGAAAGTTATTGGATAGCGAAACATATGTCACGGTTTTTGTAAAATCCATTATAGTGAAAATCGAACAATAAACTGTATTAATAAACTGCAATAGTAATTGTAATTGTGAATTTTCATCATTCATTGTTCAATATTCGATGGTACTGAGGATTGAAAAATATTCTTTGGTTGAAGAAAAAAGCTTTTACCTTCACAGAAACAGGTTTTGGATTTTTTTCTCCCTCGCTGAAAATCTTTGAATTTTTATTGTTACTTGGGATGACTTTATCATTTAGCGACTGTAGTGAAGATCTGCTTGATGAAGAGCTTGACTGGTTGGAGAGAGGAACGTAATCTTCATCTACAAAATCACAAGGAGACTCGGTACTCCCTTCGGAGGATTCACTTTCCAAATGCGAACCAATTTCTTCATTTTCTTTTATTACATTGAGATTTTCATGATTAGATTTTTTTTTTCTGCGGTCATTTCATTAATGTATTCTTGATTTCTGTAAAGTTTGTATCCTTCACGGATTATTTCATTTGGTTTTTCAGAGTGATCAGCAGTGGAAACGGATTCTCCTAGCATTGTAAGGAAATTATTTTCTCTACAAATAATTTTGTTGACTTCCAAATTATTACCGAAAGCTGTCTCACTGAAAACAGTTTCTGCTGAAATAACTCGGTTATCGATTATTTTTATTTTCTTATAAGTATCAGACATATGTGTATCTCCTCTGTCATTATTCAAAGGTGAAAAGCAACCTTTCATTACCGAGGATGAGACATGTTGATCATCATCACTAGGACTTTCAATTGCAATATTACTTATATTATCATTGAATATATTTTTTTCGTAAGGTTCTTTATTTTTGCACTCATTATCTGGGCGTTCTCTGGGAAATGATTGAGTGTAAATGTCTGGATGTGTTACTTGTATCGATTTTTCATTGACGTTTCTAGTCAATATTCCATACCAACATTTCCCGTGATCGGAGTCGTATCCATTTTGAAGACTCGATTCAGTATCTTGAAATTCATAAGGATCAGTTTTGTCTTGTGGAAACCATACATTCTGCAGATGATGAAAAACTTTTTCTGTAGATTTTTCTTCAGGAATATCTTTGAGAAACTGAAAACAGCAATAAAATCGGAATGAGAATTACTGACAATCCAACTATAATTAACAGTTGATTATCGAATCGGATATTCGTATGATTTTTCAATATAATTTGTGGTTACTGAGCAAACGGCAACGGATCACTTTGAGAACTCCTTCACTGTCTGAACAAGCAACATTATAAGGGGTTATAATTCAAATTGATGAATGGTTCTTGGGCGAATTTTTCATGCAATATACTCACCCGTGTTAAGAATCATACGTTGAAACCTCTTTTTTCCTTAACTCAGACATATGTTTCAAGTTTTTGATAGTTGTCGTTCGTATATGGACGACAGTGGGTTAACGAAAAAATCGATTTTAACTCACTCATTTCAACCTTTTTCTTGAGGAAGAATAACTATCTCAACTCCTTTAAACGAAAAAATCTTTTAATATATTCTTTTCGAAAGTCGAAAATATTTATCCATATCACTTATAAAACACCGCATCAGATTCAAATTTTTTCAAAGGTGTATATGCCACCCCTCATCAGATAAATATGAATTCTATGAATGCCAAAGTTGCATATGCTGAAAGAATATTGCTGCTTTTTGCAAATTAGTTTTCCATTCATTACTTGCAGAAACGCATCTTTTGCAGGGTTGAAATTGGAAAAGGTCAAATAATAAGGGCTATCCTAGTGTAATATGCACTTAACTGGTAGCCATAGAATTTATGACTTTTGAAACAAATTGTTAATAAGTTCATTATATTCAGAGGTTAATTATTCGAAAATTACATATTGACAATACCGAAAAACTGAGGAATATAAAAAGAGAATTGCATGTAACTTGGTATTCTATGTCTACTAGATATTCTATACAAAGAGCGTTTATTGTATTCGAAAGCGTTCCTTAAAACCACTCCAAAAAATATCCCAAAAGAGCACATTATAACTCACCTGTCTTCCACTTGAAGTTCCGTTTTCAATTTTTTTCTCTTCCGAATTCTCTTGCTGCTCTTTTGCAGCTGATAAAAAAAGGTATGATGATTTTTTCAGATTATAAGTCAACATGACAAGTACTTACCTGCCGAATCTCTTCTAGCTAAACTAACTAGTAATTTTCCACGATACATATTTGAAAAACATTAAAGAACTGATTGAGAACTGCGCATATAATAAAAACGTTCTACCTTATCAAGCCCTTGATGGCATCTAAAACTATCTATTGAAGGTTCGTTAAATGAATCGGTAGTAAATTGCTCGGTATTGGTCCGAAATAGTTGCTGAAGATCGCGGGACCGGTAACGATGGATGGATAGATAGTAAATGTGTACTTTGGAAACTTGTAGCGATTTACAAAATTCTTATATTTGAAGAGAGAATACATTCTGATGAAGCAGTGAGGAATGTTCACACCAAAAAGTTAAATAAGAATGTGATCACCCTCCTGATAATAAAGTTGATTTTCTCCATGAAATACCAAAATAGAGTTTGCTGTGAAAACAAATAAAAACAATTATTATCCTTTCAATTATTAAAATTCGTATTTGAAATAAGGTCGTTCATATGAAACAGGAGTGTTTGAATTTCATATGCACTTATGACTCCCTCAAGATAACAAATAACAGATAACAAATTAAAACATTATTATATAATACTCATCATACAATGAAATATAAGCGTTACTCTTTCTAGTCAGTTCATTTCATGTTTTCTTTAGTTCCAAATTACTAACATTGTATTTATTTCTGTCCTTAGTTTATTTTGACTTGACATATCAACTTCAAAGCAAATTATGAAGCCCGGCTATACGAGCGTTGAATAAATCATTGAATAAAAATTAACTATATTCTTACACATTGACCAGTGGCTTTAGCGGATATTTGAATTACTACTCCTCTACTTATTTAGCTGAAATATCACTTTTGTCACTTTTGACACGTACAATATATCCGTCTTATAAATAAGAGACACTGGAAGAGTCAGACATAACTCTTGTAAATTTGCAACTTACCCTCACATAACGAGTTTGTTTTTATACTGAAATCTTGTATCATGAAGTTATAGTACCTAATCACAGTATCTTTCAAATTCTGCTTGTGATAAGTATGAATTAGTTTAATTAATAATTTGATGGCTTAGTTAAATTATCAGTGTAACTACAAACATTTGAATGACTTCAATGACAAAAAATTTAAATTTCAAATCAGGTTCTTGATATTGATAAAACTCTTTATTTAATTCAGAAAGTCTATTTCGAGAGAAATTAATACAGAATATAAATCAAATAGAAATATAACAGCTTTATCGTCTACAGAAACGGGCACTATCACAAGTAAAGTATCAAATATTCCCTTCGACAAGAAGTCATTCAACTAATAAATATTCCTATTTCTGCACATTCATAATCATTCGTTACAATGTTGCCAAATATTGGGATCAACGACGTTAGCAGAACGTCGTGGGAGCGAGAGAGTTTGTATATAATTATATACTATATATATATAAATGTGAAAGTTTGTGAGGATGGATGTATGAATGTTTGTGACTCTTTCACGCCTAAACGACTGTATGGATTCAGATGAAACTTTACATAAGAATTGACATTACTACAAGTACATATCTATATCGGTACTTCAATCTACTTCAATCACCATGAAGAACAAGTCTACAACTGAACAGAAAAAGAATTGTTGATGCCTATTCCACGACAATAGGTGCTCTTGAAAATGATGTCAACAACCTACGTCAAAAAATACCTCAGAAGACATCAGTTTTCTGCCCTATAAACTGGAGAAATTACATGTATTGCACGAAGATGGCCCTGACAGAAGAATGCAGTTCAGTGAATTGATATCCGATCGTTTGAATGCAAATTGAGACTGCTTCGAAAGTATTTGATTAAGTGACTAATGCAAATTTCTATTAAACAGGTACGTCAACTGCGAAAATGTGCGATATTGGTCACGTATAAACGCCCACGTATTTTTTGGGCTTGAGCTTGAACTTCATTCTCCAACAAGACGGTGCATCCTCCCGCATTTGATTAGGCCTATAAGGTATTGGTTGGATCAAACAATCTGGATTGGTAGGCCTGCTCGTTCAACAGATTTGTCCCTTTCGATCATTTCCTTTAGGGCTATATCAAAGTTAATGTTACGGAACCTGAGACAATACGGGAACTTAGAGACAGAATTATTGAAAGTTGTTGAAAGTTCGGAATTCTATTATTTTTTAAGGACAAAACACAAGCACTACAGGGAAATCCTAAAGAAATTTAAGAGCGGTGCTTGTGCGTAAGTAGCAATTCAGATTGGATTTGCATCGTTGATTCAAATCCCATTGATTGATTTCTGTCTGTTCAAAATCTGTTTCTTTGGTAACCAGCTGTGGCACCCCTACGAACAACATCCCTCAGAAGTCGAAACTTGTGCGAGCTAAGGACTAACGAGGTCTTACTTTTTAACGTGTGATTCCTAACACGGTTTGGACGATAGCAAGTGAAAATCGATCACTCAGTCTGGGGCTTGAACCAGCGACCAACATAGCTGTCGATTTTAGTGAGTGAACAAAGGACCCACGTCGAACCACCCGGCTACCGACCGACCGAAAACACTTTCCATGAAAGTTTCTATAGAAGAGAGACAACCTTCAACCTTTTTACCTTTTTCCGATGTTCTACACTATTAAGGTTGCAAGTGATGTTCGCATCTCCAATCACGTGGATGGGTTTTTTTCTGGATGGCATCCAGCACCCTCAGGGTATGCTTAGAGGCGGAACTACTTACATGAAAACAATACTTCAAAGAAGGTCTACTATGAGCTTTATAAAGGATCAAAAATTACTGAGGTGTGTCCAGTTTTTTGGTTCGGAAAAGTGTTCCAAGCTTTAGAGAGGCAGCTTCTCAAGGAGCAAGAATTTT